CATTGCTCAGGAGAATGAAACAGGATGTTAAGACCTAAAAGGGAGAATAAGAACAGAAGATCATGAATTCTGATTCTGTTCTTGCTGTGATGCAGATTTTTTTAAAGTGACCCATGGAAAAATCATCTACTGCACTTTATCCCCACAGAGTATGGGTGACTCTCCTGCCTTGCTGCACTTTTTTATTATTTGAAAAGATCTTGAGACTCTTAAGGTAAAAGGGCAAATCTTAAAGTATTTTTTTACTAAAGAAGAAAAAGAGTAGTAATGAGAACCTTGAGGAGTTCCCAGTGGACCATATCTGCTTTAATACCCATTCAGGGAAGAAGCAGTTCAGACACAGGGTCACTTCCCTCCTGTGCTCTTTGGTGTCTCTTTTGCTCTAGGAGGCAGATGTGCAAGCAAGTCAATTCTGTCCTTTAGATATGCTGAGAGAGTAATTCTGCCTGAAAATTTCTTTCACCATTAGAGAAAGAGCAGCACTTTGGCCTTAAATAACCTGACCTACATCAAAATAACACCCTTGAAAATCATCAGTGATGAGTGATGTGAACAAAAGTTTAATGTTAAGTTATATAATTAACCATATGTACCTGCAAAGAAAGCTGTCAAAGTTCACGAGGGTACAGAGAGGGCTAATTCCAGGAACAGCTGTACCAGCTGTTTGTTTCTGCCCTCACTGGGAGCCCAGTTTGCTTAGCTCTGTGGTCAGCCTTACTTTTTCCCAGACCTCACAGCACTGAAATCCTGGCTAAGGAGTAAGTTGGGATTTGCAATGTGTGAAGGCTGGCACTTTGCTGTGGTTAGGTGCTACCTGTCACTGCTGCTGGGTGACATGTAACCAAACCAACATCAACACTTTAGCCTAAAGATAATGCTTAAACTCCTATCCTCAAATAAACCACCCCCACTCAAGTATAGCAGTACTGAACATCAACTGCACAAAAAATAATTCACTCTAGGCTAACCATAGTGAAGGATCAATGAGGTAGCTCTGCTTAGATCTTCTGTTTAGTAAGGTCCTTGAAGAAAGAACCAAGGGTTTTAGATTAAAAAAAGGAAAATTATACCACAATAACATACAGTATACCTAATTTTAATAGATAAAGTTCATATTGACTATGCCAGAACAAATCATGCAGCTTTCCTCATGTGCAGAGTGTCATTAGAACTGGGAATCATCCCCCAGGCTTGGTTTTAAGTAATTGGGCCATTTCCTGGACTGCAGTAAACTTGACCCAGTGCCTGACAGACCCCAGGAAGGGTCTTTTCCATCACTTTTAAAGGTTGGCTTTCTGCTCTTTCAACCATCTTCAGTCCCTGCTTGTCTCCAAGAATATGCCCTTCAGGAAAAGGCTAATTTTCCCTACTTTTTGGAGAGTGCTAGCACTTAACTCACATTATTTAAAGAAATTTTGCATAAAATCAGAAATAAACAAATCAGGCAAGATTTTTACATTGCCAGGGAAAGGGTAAAGATGTAGGAGAGATTTGCTTATGACACAGACAAACCAAATGAGCACACCATAGGCTAAAGTTTGAATTTGTCACATAAGCCTGAGGAATTCCACATTCAGTTTGTTTGCTGTTATGGTCAGAACAGCACTGATCTTAAACTGCTCTTATATTTCACTTGAGAAGTTGAAGGTAGAAATAAAAAACAACCTAACTTTTCATAATGGATGCTATAAACAAGGCTGTAAAAGTCAGAAAACAGTTACTTAGGCATTGAAATATGAATAATAGGCAATAATAATCTTAAAGAAAAGAATTTTCTATGTCCAAGATTCCTTCAGGCTATAACTCTGAGAAAGACAAGGAGGAGGTGGAGGCATGGTGCTTGCTACAGAGCCCCAGGATGAGGACCAGTGTAAGTGATGGGAAGATCAGAGCTCAAAGAGTCACTCGTATCCTAGAGGACACTCAGGCTCCTAAAGAAGCAAACAGAACAATTCTCTGTTTCCAGACCAGAACTGAACATTTTCATCTACAAGAGGGTAAATCCCTCATAGCAGTAGCAGATTTTCCTATTAGTGCTAACAGAGCAAATTGTAATTTTTGTCCTTGATTTTGCATTGTCCTCTAAATACATTCCTCCGTCTCCCTGCCAGTCCTTCAGCTGCCCCACAGCCTCAATGACTTTTGGCTGTCAGCAAATCAGAGTCAGTGTGGGAAGAAGAAAGGAATGTTATTTCTTCTGATTCATTTACTTGTCTGAGTTGAGACTGTTTTTCAATTAATTTAACTTTGACAAACGGATGCTGTGTAGTCAGAACCGTAAAGTGGTTTAGTAAAGACAGGAAAGAAGGTCTTGCCCTTTCTGAAGGAAGAGGTTAGATCAGTGTTCCTTTCTGCCAGTGCTTTAATGAAAAGAAAGGAAGTAGTCTTAGCAAACCAGAGCTGGAAATTCTTCATATCCTCTTAACAAGAAGACTCCTGAATGGTTTATGACACCAAAACCACCATATATTTTACTGAAATAAACCACAGAATGCTGTAAAGCAGCTTTATAATGTTGTGAAAATGTAAAGGTTTAGACTATTGTTATTGACTAAAATGTATAAGCCTAAGTAGATTTAATAATAGTTTCACAGAAAGCATAGTTAAAATATTTATTTGATAGAGCCCCTTTTTCTTGAAATATATAAACTTTGAAAATTATTGTTTTGACTAGAATAGATTGGTTTTCTATGTTAATTAATTACTATTTCACAGACTGAAATACAGTGCTGAATCTTATTAACAGAGTGACTTTCCACACCATTCGTTTAAAACAGTTTGAGGTGATCAAAACAAATGTACCAAATGATAAGCTTTGTCAGAAGCAGTATCTTGAAATCTTATTTTGCATAACCATTAGAAGTTTATCTTTTTGCCTCACACATGATAGTTTATCAGAATCTTCAGCACACTGTATTACTAAATCTCAGCATTTTCATGAGGTGGAAAATTTGTTTCCACTTTTGAGGAGCTCAAATTCTCTCACTATGAAAAGAGCAATAACATAAATATTGCAGTAAATATTAATGGCAGATATAGGTATGATTTCCGTAGTTTATATCAGGTGTTTCACCAAAAAGGAAGAAGAATCTTATCCTGAATGGTTATTAATTAAGCCATCAAATTATCCCAGGCAAAAATAAAAATGTTTGAAAATAATTGCCACTTTTTATTTTTTAACAGCTTAAATATGAAATAATTTAAATATGAAATGGCCTGAATGTATTGGGATCCTATGTGAGCAGTTTTGCCTTAATTCCTTCTCTTCCCAATTTGAGACAAGGAGACAGAGGTGCAAAGGGAGCAAGATTATTGTTTTTGTTCTCAGCTGCCTTGGGGGCAGGTGAACCCCATGGATGCAGGGCTGTGGCAAAGTTGGCACAGCTTTTGCTTAGGCAGGTTTGTTGCACAGATACTTGAACTGCTCCACAGGCCCCAGATGTGGCACCTGCAGCATGATTAATGTGAGATTCAGGTGAGGGCTGAAGGGAGTGGATTCCCAGCAATACCAAGACTTCTAGGAAAAAAACCCAAAACACTAAAGATTGCTTTTAGAGAGTAACAAAAACACTGAGTGTGGATGAAAGAAGACAAGGGGCAGAAGTAATACAAATAATGCACAAAAGCATTTATGTTGACCTATGCAGAAGAACCTTGTATAAATATGAAGTAAGGGATTAAAATGAGGTTTTTTTAGCATAGCTACAGAGAAATGGTGACTTTTCAGAAGGCAGTGCTCCATGATTATTCACAGCCTCTGTGGCATTTGCTCATGTCTGGAAAGAATTAAATTTACAAATAACATTTGCATTTTCTAACTCCAGAACTTTGATTTAAAAGTACTGCACCAGTATTGCATAACAAAAAAAAAAAAAAAAATCAACACATGCAACCACCAGCTAGACAAGAAACAGTCTATACTTTTTCAAGTATATGGGATTAGTGCAATGCCGACGAGCTTATCACACCTCCAATAATTACCAATATTGTCAATTTAATGAAATTTTGGTTTTAGGATTAGTGCAGTTTCATTCTGCATATTGTAATCAAAGTAAAGATTGGATCTTTACCCTACTCATAATCTAACAGCTGAATTTGCTTTGAGTACTGTTAACACTGAAAAGCCCTGCCACGCATAAGATGTCAAAATTTTGCAAATAAGCAGAGATGAAATTGGTAAACAAGGTGATAATGGAGAGAGTGAGACTACATGAAAGAGGGGGGAAGAGACACAATCTATGTTAAAGCATTTTTCCTAATTACAGTTTCCTCCATACTTTAAGTGGAAAAAAGACAGTGTAAATAGAAAATCAACATAGAAGGGTAATGGAGACAACTTTACAAAAACAGACAAGCAGAAAAAAAGGAGCACTTCAGGTATAAGGCAGAGAACAAAAAAAGAAAGTGGTGTAAGGCCCAGGTAAAAAGAATGAGAAGAATTGGATTATAAAGGGTAGAAAACAGAGAAAGGTAATATTTAAGCAAACGCCCATACGGCTCAGGGGTTTGGACTTTTGGATTTATTTTACTCTCACTTTTACATCTGGTGTACAACAGGGTGAATCAAGTGAATTACTGGAATTGCTGGTGAGATACATCCCATGTGAAGAGCCCAGGACTGGGCCATGAGTTGTAAAAGAAATCTGAGGCAGGGACTGAAAAGAGATAGCTGGAGTTCTTTAGTACCTAGATAGTTTGCTTAAGACTGGAGAACAAGGGAAACAATTAAAAGAAGTTAAGACAAAAGACGAAGAAGACAATCTTTCACACTGAATAGACAAACTGTATCCAATATTTCTTCAGGTGATAAAAATACAAAGCCTGTTAATGTTCTGTCCATTTTATCCTTGGACTTGATTCATTAACAACTCTGGATTTACACCTGATTTTATACCATCAATCTTTTAGCAGTTTACTTCTTATACAATCAGCGAGACCAGCAAGATTCTTTCTTGGCCTGAACTGCTCATAGTGTTGTCTGTTAGCTGGTGTGATTTTACCTTGCCAGCAAGCCCCCACTGTGAGCTGCATGGCGATGTGGGAGGGGTGGATGGGCCAGTCGTTGGTCACCAGGTACGGCTCGTATGTTGTCCCATCCATGTACAGTGTCACCACGGGGAACTCCACGTTGACCACGTAGTAGTGCCACTCCTTGTCACAGATCTGGGAGACACAGCAAAGTATTAGTTAGCTCTTACAGTGACTGGCTTTTATATCCCATATGGTTTTTAAATTGTGTTTCCAAATTTCAGTTATGGGAAATAATGTTACTGTAATTTCTATGTCTCTAACATTAATAAAAGCCAAAACAATGTTGATAAATACTCTTGGCAAAATATATATTTGCAAAATATATGTGATAAATAGAGGCATCTTAAAACACACTCTGAAAACAAGACATGGATAGAAAATAGAAAAATCAGACAATTTGGTATTTCATCTGTATTTTCACATTTCCTAATACATAATTGTCTTAGGTTACAAATGCAAGATGTGGCTGGGGGTGTGTATTCTATTGCCATTGGTTAGAGGTGGGGCAGTTATCTTCTGTTAATTGGGCAGTTTTCTTTCTCTCTTCCACAACCAATCGTCCCTCCAGGAGATCTCTTCTGTTCATGGCCAGTGAGTGTTCCTCGATGGCTGATAAATTCCCATTGGGAGATGCTCCGCCCAGTGGGAGGAGCCAAGCATTCCTACCTGGATATAATCTGAGATTTTTGGAACACCATAGTCAGCTTTTTCCCACTGGATTCCCAGAGGAGCAGCTTTCTTTTCCACTAGATTCCCAGAGGAGGACCAGGCCCATCTCCAGCAGCCCTGGAGCTTCAGAGGAAAACTCCCCCCTTGTGCAGGATCCCTGCTCCAGCAGAACCACAGCTGGCACTGCAGGAGGGCTGAGCCCCCATGGAATGGGACTGTGCCACCACCCTGACACACAGGGGTCAGGGCATGTTCTGGCTCTGGCAGTGTTGTTTTGTACTACTGCATTTTTTTTCCCTAATAAAGAACTGTTATTCCTATTCCCGTATCTTTGCCTGAGAGCCCCTTAATTTCAAAATTAAAATAATTCAGAGGGAGGGGCTTTACATTTTTCATTTCAAGAGAGGCTCCTGCCTTCCTTAGCAGACATCTGTCTTTTCAAACCAAGATAATAATATTAGTTTCTTAATGCTTGTATCTAGTGTTGAAAACAGAACACTTCATGTAAGATACACAGAGGACATACTGGCATAGTTAATGAGCATCCCTGTTAGGTTCAGATTAAGAAAATATACAGCCCTTAGTCACTGGACTGATGATTGCCATTATTAACTTATCCCATCAGTACTTAGAAAGTCCTGTGCAACCTGCCAGGACCTTGACCGTGCTAAAAGGACCTGGGCCGTGCCCGGTGCAACACAGAGGGACCACAGAGGGACCAGCAATCTACAGGTTTGGGCAGGGAACTCACCGCTTCTCCACCCTTCATCTTTTGGCCTTGAGCTTTTTCCCAGATGGTGGGAAAAGGAGGATCTTTATGATTTCCCTGATACCCACCAGCTTTGAAAAGCAACGGCTACAGTTACAACATACTTTCAGGATGACAACATTAGTGTCAAATCACATATGAATTTCTGAGCTGGACAACCAGGGATTACTGCAGGATGGCCAAATTCAGCTTTAGTTTAGAAATGTACAGCTGGATGAACCCATGCCTCTAGAGACAGAAGTCTGGTGTGTAAATATCAATGTCTGCCCAATTATTTTTTTCTGTTGCTGTAGCTTTCAATTTAAAAGTTCAGAGGAATAAATCACAGCAAACTGGTAGGATGAGTGCGCTGTTTTAAAAATAAAAGAATAGTTACAACAATGGTACTTTCAGTTCTGGGGAGATCCTTTTTTTGATGCATTAAGAAATGGAAGTGCTTGAATGCAGATATGGTTGCTGTTTCACAGAAGCAAGCAGAAAGTGATGTTTAAACTCAACATTTTGTCCTTGGCCAGGTGAAGTGCTATGTGGGCAATATCTGCCCTTTGAGAGCAAAAGCTAATGTTTTGTTCCAGAAGACATTTCAACAAGAACTTAATTACTTCTATTTCAAACAGATACATTTATTACTGCAGACATTGTAGCTCCGCAGTGAGATAAATGCAGCAAGGGGCTGCTAGGGGGAGCCTTCTGTTTGTAAGCAGCAGACAGCACAAATGTTTTCTGAAGGTTAAATGAACTGAAACCAAAATTGAAAGTAAATAAATTGGAAGACTGAAAATGTTATTGAACAAACACCAACAGTATTATGCAGCCCTGCCTTCCAAGAAAAAAACAGCTTGCCAAGCCCCTGACCTCATTAGCACGTGGTGCATCACAGCCACATGCAGCTGACATTTCATAGAAAACAAAACCTGGTTGTGAGAGACCTTGCATGGCCAAACCTACAAGATGAATACCTGTCACTTTGTGGAGAACTGTTCCATGCTGTTTCTGTTTTGCAGCCCTGACCTGCATCACGTGGGTGCCCCACATGCACCCCAATGAATGAGTAATCCTCATGTTTAACTAAAGCAAGGGCCCTTTGACAGAGCAAACCAAAACGTTTTGGGGCATTATACACACAAAGAGCACAATAATGTGTAGCCAGTGTAATTACTCCATTAGGCAGTTACATTTTTCAAAGAAAATTATTCCTGCAAACACAACATTTCATAAATTCCACAGTTCAAGGCTCCTGCAACTGGGCTCAAGTGCTTCCAAGAAAAATACAGAAAATACAGATGTCCAACTGTGGATGTCCACACAAAGTAATCAGTAGCTTTTATTTTTTCTTATACATTCTGGAACATAAGATAATGCAAGTAAAGACAGCTTGGTGATGTCCTCAAACCCTCACTTACCTGCATTTCTTTAAATTTTAACACATAAACACATCAAGTGTTGTTTTGAAGGATGAGACTTACAGTCTCAGCTTGGTTGTTCCTGAGATTTAAACAGCGCTTGTTGGTCATCTTAATTGTCACCAGATTTCAGTTCAGCTTAGGGACACAGACACATCTATTCCTCTAAACCATCTTTCAGTATCTGTACTGGGCTCCAGTGTAAAAACAAATATTCTACAAGGAAGCAAAAAATTACTTCCAAACTCTGGAATACATCCCAGTCCTTCAGCAGCAGGTAGTACTTCATGGCTGGTCATTTCACAAGCAACAAAATAATGAAATAAATAATTGTGGTGTGTAATTTGTTATGCTGCTACTTCAGACACCTTCTTTGCCTTCTTAATACAGGAAACCAATTTTTTTTCCCTGCATGTATTCCACTGTGGCAATGGAATGCAATATGAAGCAGTGAAACCAGGAAAAGAAAATTATAAAATATACTACAATGGCAAATAAAGAAATTTTAATACTGTCAAGTTGGAAATTTATTTTAAAAATCTAATTTATAAAGCCATCGTAATGAGATAAAATCATAGATGAGTGAGTTAGGCTTTCCAAAACTGCGGGATGGCTTGGTCTAATCACTCTATCATGCCAGTCTGTCTCTAAAAAGTATTAATCAAATCACAGTGAATGAAACAGCCTGAAGTCCTAGTGCTGATTACAAGCCATTGCATTGGAATATGATTTTATGAAATAGCTGCAAACAGAAAACAGCCTCCATATAAATCTTATGTGACCTAGGCTCTTGGCATCTTCTAATGAAAAACGTCAGATTTTTGTGCTTTATATTGGAATGCTCAGGAAAAGACTGAAACCAAAGTTATTGGCCTGAGAAGCATGTGGTGCTCAGAACCAGACTTTGGTGGTCTGAAAAATGCCCCATTTTTCAGCTTTGTCCAACAGGCCTGGCATGCACCTAGGAGAATCTGCAATTTCCAGCTCTTGGAGCCTTCCTCGGGTCAGCTGGGGCCACTTCTGGAATGGGGGTCATTCACCTGCTTGGCTGCAGCACCAGGGCAGCCTGTGCTCCCGAAGTGCCCAGAGAAGAGCTGCTCATGCTCACCACCTGCTCACCTCTGCTGAGCTCCCTGTGCATCCCACTGGTACCCCTCAGCATCCTGGGGACCCCGAGCAGGGAAACAGCTCTGCACAGCCCAGGGAGCCTGAGCAGGGAAGCAGCTCTGCACATCCCCTCGCTGCTGCTCAGAGCACACCCGAGAGTATGCCCTCAGTGCTTGGAGAGACACCTGTGGCTTCCATCTTCTGCTTCCTGGGACTTTGCTGAGGAAGTGCTCTCAGAACATACTCAAACATCCTCAACAAAAACAGAAAGAAGGAAAGGAAAGCAAAGAAAGCACTCTGCTCACTGCAAATAGCACCACTTACTGCAGCTGTGAAACAAAAATCCTTCTGCGTGAGTGGTCTGAACCACTCATTCAGTTGATGTGGTCTGACTGAACCATTTGTTTGAAGAAAGCATCTTAACCCCCATCCTTAGCCATCATTTATTAGAGCACACTTAAAACACTGGGCCTGCTGTGGGACCCTAAATACACGGAGTATTTCTATAAACTGGAGTGAATTCAGCAGAAAACCAGCAGAAGTGCCAGCTCTGGCTGCATGAGGAGTGGCTGAGGGAGCTGGGCTTGTTTGGCCTGGGGGGAGGCAGCCCTGCAGTGCCAATGGAGAAATTACCATGGACAGGCTTTTCGAAATGGACAACTCTGCGTTTTTATAGCCCATCACTAAATAAGGCAAAAAATGCAGGGAATCTAATGGCATTAGCATTATTCCCTCAGCCACAGTCCCCTGGTCAGCCCTCCTGCCTTGTTCTGAAAGCAGCCAAATGCTTTGTGGCTCTGCTTCAAAGCCTGGCCCCCACTACCTCAGTTCAGAGCACTGAAAATAGATTATGATTGGATGGGGAGAGGGATATTGATTTGAGTTTAAAAAACACCACATTTTTCTATCTCTAAAAAAAATCTTCCTGAAAGAGCTTTTTTTTTTTGTAAAAATTACAAGGTTTGGAATTGCTCTTTTTCTGTTGATTGCAATAATTTTGATAGGTTTTTAATACATTTTTAAATATTTATAAATATTATGTATTTTGAACATTTTTGATAGTATTGAGAGAAAACACTGCACTGCTAACAAACAGGGAGCTAAAATGAAGGTTCTGAAAGACTGTTTCATTATACTTTGAATCAGGAACTAAGCAGTAATGCCTCTGCAAGAAGAAAGCCTAA